AGGTAAATGGTACCCTCGCTTCAGGTTCTGACTTCCAGGGTGGAATGGCAGGGTGTGTAGATGGCATTTCAGGACTTTGCTAGCAGCAAAAAGGGGTGATGCAGTTTAATGACTTGCTCAGGTAAATGGTGCACTTGTGTGGCTAACAGTTCTTGGTTCTACATGTCTGACATCGCAGACAGCGCTATTGGCTTCTGTTGCTCAAAATTATGTGCAAAAGGCTTGCAGTTTAAAGACATGTGCTTGATCATTCATGGCGCTCAAAGCTGCCAAATTGTGAACAGTTTAACGACATGCCAAGGTCGTTCAAAATGCATGATAGTTGTAAAAAGATACTGTTTTTGACCGCAGCGTCGGCCCCTAGGTATCATTCTCCGGATACCAGTTTATCCTGGTCTTCTGTCTTCAGTCATGACTTCGTGCTTCTGTGCTACGGCGGATTGGGTAGGTTATTACATAATACATGGCAGATTCCGTTTCATCGAGGAATCGAACCCGCGCACACGTTATGTTGTGAGACGATCGGGTCCTGACGTATCAGATTGCCATGGCTTAACCCCTAAGCCACTTGAGCGAGTGAAGATCAGGTTCGAAACTCGACCAGTATCTTTTCTTTATTACATAATCTATGCTGATGTAATCATGTGGCGTTGGAAGGTGGCATGATGTCCCTAGTCACATGTCTGAGTATGACATCATTTGATTGATTTGACCGATCGTGATCGTGGTTGATCTGTGATTTGAGTCGAGATAGACTTTCTGATCGATCGTGATCTTGGTTGATCCGTGATCCGTGATGATGTCATACATTTGGTGGCGCTCAAAGCTGCCATAGTGGTGTAGTTTTAACGACTTGCCCAGGTCCATGATGGCGCTCAAAGCTGCCAAATGATAGGATGCCCTTGGTCAGAGGGCTGTTCCAAAGATTGTGTCTTGTACCCAAAAGGTTGCCTATGTCTTTTTAGGATTTTATATAGAATAGCTGCCATGTTTGCATTGTTGTATGCAAGTAGATGCGTTCCCCAACGCTGTTCATACTTGTTGGCAATGGTCTCTCAATTGCCCTTTTAGGTTGGCATGCTATGTAGGCAAAAGTTAAAAAATGGAAGGTTTTGAAAATGTGATCCTTTGGCGCTGCTTGGATCATCCTTGACTTGCTCACGCTCATCTTCGGACATGTGATCCTAATTGCTTCACGGATCCTTCTCGACTCTTCGAATAGAACATGCGCTCAGTACTTGCTATATATCTTTGAGTGCTGCACTTCTTATGCGCGCGTCTTCAGATAAGCTCGTACATACTCGCTGTATCCTACATTACCTCCCCCTTGCCAGGTTCCTCCCGGAACCGACGCGGCATGAGCAAGTTAAAACAAGACTGAGGGGCACAAAAGTAAGGGAGGGTGGGTGGGAGAAAAAGCCTTATAACTTTTGGGGAAAAGGTGGTTTAGGCATCCCATAGCAAATAAATTACTAATTGTTGCACAATATGTAGTAATTCTGAGACCGCTTCTGGGTAAAAGGGTTCCCAATATCCCATTGTGTGTGCCAAAATAACTCCCTAAAAATTGGATTATCTATTGTGAACTGCTAAATAAAGATCTATTTCCACCAGCAGTTTACAGTCAAAGACTGCCGTGCTCTTGGAGATCTTATATGTGGACAATCACTGTGTCGATTTGGAGTATGCATGTCTTTAGATATCTGAAATATTTTATTTATATATTTATAGGTGACCAATCCTATACAAATGATATATAAATGATAGGTAATAGTTTAATGTCATTGTGGACGCAAGGTGTATTTTGTAAGCGATAACTCGTGGTATTTTCGCAAATATTGCCCATATTTTGAAAGCAATGTTGGTGGGGCTGCACAAGTATCCAAGATCAAATGTTGCTGCAGCACTATCCTGATGAGGGAGCGGCTTACGCGAAGGTGCCTGCTACCAAGTCTTGAGGTAGGCTGACAGCGGTAGAGGTGATGATGGATGTGTCAAAAAAGGTGCGCCCCACACCTGGATTTCTTGGGCTGAAAAAGCACAAGTGAATAACTCTAGGTCTTCTTCGCTTGGCTCAAAATTAAACAGTTTTGTTTAAAGGTGGTCATGTTTAGGACCAAAAAATCACACCAGCAGCAGGAAGCTGGGGGCATGCATGGAGATTCATTATAATGTCACAAAGCACCAAAGCACTTAACCCAATTAAGGGCAAGTCTGCTTTTGTGACCTGCACAAATGATCCCACATAAAAAGCCTGCCACAAGGGCTAGGCT